AGGTCCCTTAGTAGTGTATGGGTCTTTCAGCCAGGTGACCCCTTTAGAAGGTGTGCCAGCACTGTTTTTCTGGGCTTTGACCCGTTTGCTTCACGCCCGTGCCTATAATTTGGTCTTGGAGCCTTCCCAGAAAGGTGTGACATGCGGTGAGGCAAGGCTACTATCCCCAGACACTCCATGAGACTGCCATAGATGCCTACATTGGGGTGGTTTTGGAAGTCAATGTAACGTAGGCATATGGCAGTCCCATGGAGTGTTTGGGATCTCTTTCCCACGAGAAAGTCGGCGAGGAGAGCAGGATTTGGCCGCCGGCCCGCCGGCTTTGCGTGTCGCTTCTTTCCCCTCCGAACCGGGCCGTCAGTGGCCTCGGGCTGCACCGTCACTTCGAGTCATCCGGCCGCTGAACTGAAAAGGCCCAGAGGGCTTCTAGGTTGACCGGGCTTCTATCCCCTCCATCCTCCATACGAGGATATGGTCCATGGTTTGTTGGAATGGACTGGAACCAAGAAATGGAGTTTGAATCATCGACATACACACACACAAGCACACCCTAGACATACACTGGCCGATGTTTCTTGGCCAGGTTTCAAGCCCAAAAAGAGGTGAGAACGCTCTGACTGCTGAAAGCGTCGCGTCCTGCACTGGGACGTTTGCACGTCTCACAGATGTGGAGATGGATTGATGAGGTGTGCAGGCTACAGATGAGCAACTGCTGGATGATTTGGTCAAGCACGTGCAGTCAAACATTATATAGATGGAAGTAGACGATATTCCACTAGTTAGGAGAAGAGCCCCAAAGCACGATGTTGCTTTCAGATTCTATGACTGTTTTGGAGTTGCAAGGTATTACAGAAGCACAAATAAGACATTGTCATGTTGATTTGCATGGTGTTCAGTGTGCCATAGTGTGCCATTTCATGTCATTTCCATTTGCCTACGACAAGGAAACTATCATTGAGCCAGATGTGAAGAGTTGTTTTCATGTGAAGGTGAAGAGCATTGAAGAGCTAATATGTTTTTGTTTGATGATTGTTTGATCAATCAACATAGAAGAAGGATGTAGCCAAGAAAACTCATGCATTGACTCAACTTGGCAGGGCTTTCACTAGACAAACTTACATCACCGACATGCTTTCAACATGTTTCAACCGATCATGTGTCTTTGCCATTGCAACAGAAATGAAGCTGGAATCACCGAAGTTACCTGAGGGGACTTGGATCTTGATTGTCGCAGGCAAGGTTACTACTGGGAATGAGGGTGCCAAGAAGGGGGCATAGATTGGCTAATAGTATGAATGTGGACACTACATGGTCATGACATGTCCACAAATACGATGCTTTGGCAGGGTATTTCTTCATTCTTATCATCAATCATTCTATGCAGCGTACGTCTTGCACTTGGCGGGCGTAAAGGTCTGCATGACTTTGCCCGGATGACCTAAGCTTCGAAGGAGACAGGTTCATCTTGTACAAAAGGTACGCAGAAGCGGCTTGAAGAGCTTCAAGGCGATGGCGAAGAGTGTGACATTACACGATGTTTGTTGACTACTCACGGGAGTATGATTTGTGTAATAGGAACACCTCCTTTCTGGCCCCTGGCTGGGGTAGACTGGTCTATTTGTTCAAGGCACGTGCCGCTCTGGACTCTTTAGTGCATCATGAGGAGATATGAAGACGGCACTCGAGATGTGTAGATAGAGTTTCACCACTGCGACGAAAACACGAATCACATCGACTCACTCTTCAATCCGCCGGTCCCCAACATCCGCGGCCTGGAAACCCGCGAGACGCTTTAGACGTTCAGACGCGTATCCTCGCGATGCGTCTCGTGGTGAGGCCCAACGGATCTGAGGAAGGAAACAACGCGAAAAGAAGACATGAAACCGATGGGTGGGAGCGGTGTGTGTTTGTGCTAAGCGAATTTGATTTCCGGTGCATTTTCTCAACTTCCAGTGATTGCAGTGTTTCATTCTCCAGTTTCAGCTTTGTGTGTGTGTGTGCACGCTCTTGTCACATGATGGGGCTTGTTGCTTGGGTCGATTGACTTCTGCCACCCGCTCATTGTATACTTGACAGTTTTTTTTGTTGTCCTTTAGCGTAGCTGCCGAGATGTTCATCGTTGACGTGCTTCATTCAGCTTTGCGAATGGGAAGGCCCTCCAGGGAAGGCAGACCCCACCCATCCCCACCCCCCCCACAGTCCTCTCTCCGAGCGAGCGAACCATTGCGCCAGGAGTTCAGTGGATCACCTCCAGGTCACCATTTCATTTGGGTCGCCCCTTTTTAAACATGAACTAAGGCTCTAAGGGTTAAACATGGTTACCCTCTTCTCTAGCACATCACATGGATGTGGATGGATGGCATGGTCCCTTGGAAGACATTTCCTTGAACAAAAAACAGGGGGTGCCATCCACTTCCACTTCCACCCTGTGATGCTGACACTTGCAGGGAAACTCCGGCGTCCCGTCGGGGCCAACGACGTCGAACATCGCCGCCCCGGATCCAAACGGATCGGCCTCGGACCACCCTGGGACCCGATCGGAACGAGGAGCGCGGTCCCGGGAGGTCGGAGAAGGTGGGGACGGGGTAGCGGTCCCGGTCCCGATGACGCAAATGGAGAGAGTGACGGAGGGAGTGCGCTTGAAGAAGAGTACTTATAGCCAAATCCAAATGGCTTTTGGGTGAGATGTCAGGCCAAGTGGTGTGGGTTCTTGAGAGTTCCAAGATGTTCCAGTCGTGGGCTTTTAGGCGAAGATGACATGTGTTGTGTTTTTCCTTTTTCCCGGCCTTGGAAGGCAAGGACCAACAAGTACACAGGAGGAAAGGTCCATGTTTTAAGCTTTGGATCCGTCGTCATCGACGGATGAAGGTCGAGTTCTATCAACTTATAAAGGCACATGTGAGGCAGGTCAAGGCAGGATATGTCTTTGATGTTGGGATGTGTTTTCAGCTGGGTCCGGTCATTTTGGGGGGAGGCTCACCAGTGGTCCATGGTGTTTCATGGGAACATTCACGAGGTTTTCGGCATCTCACGACGTCTTTGCTTGTGTATGAATCACCAGAACCTAGAAAACCCAAGTATGCAAAAAAATGTAATCGTGTTCTTTTCCGGCAAAACAAGGTCATCTCAGCCAAGAAACGTCATTGTTTTGTAAAATTGTAGTTGCTGCGATCAAGCCAGTGGAGGGTATGCAATATTCATTTTTGTTCAGCTGCTTCCAATCCCAAATCCAGCCTCTTCTTACACCAAAAGGTAGTTTTTCACCTAAACTTAAGCTGTTTGAGTCGGTTCCGGCGAAAGTGCAAGGATACACCGTACCTTTCGATGGCCCTTAGGATCACCTGCTTGCTTGCAACCTGTCTACTGACACGGCTGATTCTCCCAATAAGAACTTTGTTGGCTGCACATTTCCATTTAACTGACACGCACAATTTGGACAGTTTGACAATTTCCCTCGTCTCAAAAGTGGTGTGAGAAAAATTTGGCGTTTGGGCCGAAGTCATACAAAACCTGTAACGCAGTGCGAGCCCCTCTTGAGGAATCGAAACAACTACTACAGCGAGTTAGCTGTGTTTTGCTCCTGCAACTGCTGGAGAAGGGTGTCTTCCTCATCAGGGGGCTGCACAACATCATGTGTCGGGCAGGGCATGCCTTCAAAGCCCTCACCTCACACAGAGTGGCGTAGCTCGAAGCCAAGGAGTTGATAGGAGCAGGCGTGGCCACATGAAAGGAAACCTGCATGTACCAATGTACCAGAGGCCCCTGAAACAGCAAAAAACGTTACATTCAAAACATCCAAACCGTGTCCGGCAATTTCCGCAATTTTTCGGGTGATTTCCGTCATTTGGACGGTAAATTCCGTAATTGTTTTTCGGCCACTCCTGCATGGAAGTTTAAATGTCCACTGAAGAAAAACGGAAATCTCAGCGATTGCAGATCGAGCTAGGTTCTGTTTTCCCTTGCCCCAAGCGTTTCTATACAGCTTTGAATGACCACCGCAACTTATCAGAATCTTCCAGGCAAGATGGAATCAAGGCATTCCATGACAAGCTGTTGGGATAATTTGACGCATCTCAAACACAGCATGCTCTCAGTGAAATTGGCTTCTGTCCGGTCGATTTCCAGGGCCTTCGCTTCGAAGTTCTTCGAGGGCAAAGGCAGAGCAGCTTTTCAACGTTTTGAAGTTTTGGCCATTCTAACCATGACTATGAACTAAATAGATAGAGCTGAACCACTTTGAAATGGTTTCGATGGCGATATGGATCTCCAAAGCAATCTTTGCAAAACGAGGAAGTTGCAATTTGTGCACAGGGGGCATCATGTATCATCTAAATGCCCTCTGGTGATTGCAACATCCTCTGTGTACAGAAAGTAAGTACTGGCGCCCTGTTCATTTGCTCACAACTCCAGACTGGAGATCTCAGACAGAATGATCCCATGATTTCTCAAACAAACAGCAGTAAGTATGCAAAAGGTAACAAAAGGTAACCCAAATCCAAAAAGGTAAGTGTTATACAAAATAACTTGTTCAACAAAAAACTGTTTTTTTCTGAAACTACATTCGTTTTGCATACTTTAGGTTTACTAGGAAGGTCATTATCGTTTATTATATCCAATACGTTCCTGCAGATGGTTGTTCTTTAAACATCTTTAAACTAAACAGCTATTGTTATAGAAGAAAACAAGAAAACACCACATAGATTAATAACTGACTAACTTATAAATATATGTGTATATATATATAGGGCTTGTCCTATTACCTGAAACAGTCAGTACACATCTTTTTTGGACAAGGCCTCTACTAATCATCATCCATTGTTACAGGTAATAGGATAGACCCAATATATATATATACATGTATATCAGGTCATATCAGGTCCCTATAGGGCCCTAGGTTTTGGATATATTTGGTTGGTGTCTATGAACCACAGCTGCCGCGTCCTGCTCCCTTGAGGACTTGCCCAGATCCGCGCGCTGCGTGCGCGTTCGTGGCGGAGCCCATGTCAACGGTTCTGCCGGAGGCGGACGGGGAGAGGTCTGAAACTCACAGAAGCTACAGAGATTCAGAGCTGAATTTGACCCCAACATATATTACATAATGTTGCATATAACCCATCCATGACTGAGTTGCATAAAGTTGCATATATGTAACATCATTTATAGACCTCTTTGATCCATCCATGTCAGGAACTCTTCCAGTCCCATGCAATGTTGGGGAAATGGTGGCCTTCTCAAACCCACGACGGTCAGATTTCTGAGTGATCACTCACGTACTGCGACGTGACGTGATCAGCAGTCGCCGCACGGAGCCTCACGATCGGATCGTTTGGGATCGTTGGGCACCTGATGGGGTCCAGACCTGCTCGCAGCTCTCTTGCGTGGTTCACTCATCCTACTCATCCAATCCCCCCTTTTTGAAGGAACAGGTACGTAAGTGATATGACAAGCATGTTGATCTATGTAGAAGGTCTCTCAGCTCCACAGTCGTGCGGTTTCGAATCAAAGAAGGGCAACACCTACAAGATTTACCTACTTAGGGCTTTTCCCATTACCAGCAAGAGTCGGTAACCAATTATCATCGTTCTTGATCAAGTCCTTTGCTCATCATCATCCACTGGTGCTGGTGATGGGATAGACCCAAATCTACAAGCAAAACCCTGGGGCCATGCCTTTGTTCCGGCCGCCAGATCTCGGGCTCCAGATCACCAGAGGCCCGGAGAGCGTGGCTGGTGGCCGGCTTCTGTCTACCTGAGGGTAGGACTCACATAGCGGTAGTAGAGGGAGACCCTCTGGTTGACTTTTTTTTTCTTTGCATGAGCCGAGAGAGTCGAGTCTGCTGCCGCAGTTCATTCCTTGTGTGCCGGAACGGTCAGCGCCGGTTGACCGATTGGACTGCCAGACGGCAACCTATCAGGCTCACTAGGCAGACCCCGGTTTCGTTGGATCTGCTTCGGGATTCCAGGTGTTGTTTTCCAGAAAACGTTTGAAGATTTGAATGTCACGAAAGGTAGCTTGAGCTACCTGAGTTCTCCTTGCTTTAGCAAAAATGTATTACAATCAGGAGTTGGGATTGTGCATTGAGTTTGGTCCTGTAAGAGTTGATTCTGTTCGTCGGGGGGGGGGGGCCCGGGATCAAATTCCCCCTGCGCCGGTTCACGCCGTCATGGACTTCTACCAGGGTTGCTTGTGATTGCCTGCTACCTTTCGTTCACCCCCTCCTCTCTCAAGTGTTGATAAGTTTTCTTCGGTTGATTATGTAACTTCCAGCCTGCCAGGTCTTGATTTATATAAAACTTCCAGGATCCGTTGATGTTGTCCTTGAGATCTTTGAGTAAAATCAGAATATACATTAATGTACTGTAGGTGGCTGGTCACGCAGCCATGTTTCGATTGTCGCAACGTGCTTGCATGCACTGGTCATTGCTGCGTGCCATTGATCTCGGGGCTGCGATAGCTTTTGCTGCATGATGTTGCCTTTGTGGGTCTTCTCTTTTGACTTCTTTTCTTCTAGCTGTATCAACCAGTCGCGTTGCAATTCTACCTTCCAAGCAACAATGTCAGCATTTTGATGAAGGTTTGACTGCTCCCTGGTCAGTTTTCCAAAGACTTGTTGTTCTGCGCCGTTTTCCAATGCATTTCTACACGGTGGATGGTTTCGAGCAACCCGAGGTAGCCCGATGCAGTGACCGCTCCGTCAGGGCAAGAGCAAGAAGAATGCATTGAGTTCCAAGTTCCAGCCGACCTCGCAGGCAGGGTGTGGGGTTTCCCTGCCGCCCTAAGGGAAACCCCGGGCATGCCCGGGGTGGGCGGGGAGATTGAGGCATGTCTCTCAGCCGGCTTCGAAGCTGCATCAATGGCAGTGTTCAAGCTATACCTTTGCATGACCGGAATACATGTCCAGGGGCCAACATGAACCCCCACCAGGACGGGTGAAAGAACAAGCGATCGGATGGTGATGGCATTATCGAGACGGTTTTTGCATAGATCCTGATGATCCTACAAGGTGTGCAACGATCAATGAGGTGACACTGCTTTGTGGCATGGCTTTTTGCAGCTAGCCTTTGAAGCTAGCCTTCCAAGACCATTAGAGCGTATTAGAACAATGGCTTTGTAGTTTAAACATGTCTAAAACATCCCAAAACCCTTAGATTCAACCCTTATCCATCATATTGCCATCATATGGGCCCGGAATCCTATGTTTGGTAGGGATTGGACACATTTTGGGGCCGGGCAACGATGATGCGTCACGGTTATCACGGATGCTTCGCCCGCCCAGGCGCGCCATGGTTACCTTGGCCACTTATGCCTTCAAAATTCCCAGGCGCCGAGTAGCGGGTTTTGTTGTTTCGGTTCCCTTTCCTGACCAGGTGCTGCTGTTTCTGGGAGTTGTTTTAGTCAAACGAGCACATAATGCAGGTCAAACATGTCAAACATGGTCAAGCAATCGTTTCGAAGCACCTTTCCGTGGCAAGAGCGGGGTTTGACCACTAAGCTGGACCAGGAGGATCCTCCCACCAGTCACGTCCTCCTTCGGCAGGAGGATCCTGCACAAGCCTTGCGGAACATCACAGCGCTCGATGCTCCAAGTTTCCTACCCAACGTTCGGGCCGCCCGCAGCGCGTCCGTCCTGTGGCGCGTCCGCGCGTCCGTCCGTAATGGGTACGGTCCCACCGGTCCGACCGGCGGCCCAAACCGGGGCGGAGAGAAGGAACAAAACGGCCATCAGAGTAGAGGATGGCACTGGCACCCATGGCCATGTTTTTCACACCAGAAAACTGGATCTTGAAGGGCCGAACCTCCTTTGTTCCACACAAAAGACAAAAAGACCTGGCGGAACTATGACATATCCAACCTGGCTGAGTCATGTCACACTCCCCCAAAGCAGAAACCAACAAATAAGAGCCACTTGTGGTTCAGAACAAACATGTTTTGATCTGTTGGGTTGTGAGAAGGATATCACTCACGACCACTCACATGTTTTCCCCCGGTCGAACGCGACTAGGTCCTCAAGTTGGACGTCCAAAAAGAGGATCTTCCCACCATTTCCCACCAGTGGCAGATGGCATGCCCACTTCCCCTCAGTGGTTCTGCCACCTCCAGGATCGCCTTCAGGATCTAAGAAGTGGGCAGATCATTTTGGATGGATCACTTGGTTTGTGTAAAGGTTCCGAAGTGCCGGAAGCCACCTAAAATGGGTTCTCTTGGAATTCGTGAAGCCCTTCACCGGACCACATCGGGGTTCGGGTCGTTGATCATGTCCCCGTTCAGGCTTCCAGGGAGTTTTGCTACTGTATTGTAAATGTCGACGTGTGATTTTACTTCAACCCCCCCAAAACATAGATTGTAAAACCTTTTCAGGCATTGGGGGGTTGTTATTAATCAAGAGATACCAACAGTTCTAACCCAAAATGTGGACACCGGCCAATTCGGGTGTCAAGAGCCCTAGCATCATCATGGTCTTCCCTCCAAGTCATCCAGCATCATTATGGTTTGGTCTCCGTCCATTTCCTTCCGTCTCCTGCTCTGGGACTGGCCCATCGGCCCATGTTCTTCGTCCGAGGTCATGACGCTGCAGAGGGCCTCCACGCCGTGGCAGTACAACACGCCGTGCCGGCAGCTGGAGGCGGTCGGATGGCAAAGAGAAGGACGAGAGATCATGCGGGTAGGTAGGTAAGTAGTTCCCGGGGTCACGACAAGGCAACAGATTTCCCATGATTTACCTCCAATTCAAGATCCTTCAAGAACTATTTTAAACTATGAATGTAATGGTTGAAACAGGCTTGGAGGATCAAAGACTATAAGTGAAGGATGTGCTTTTGATTCAGGGACTCCAGCAGTTTCAGCCACCAAAAATATCCAAAAACACCTCGGGATTTGGCATCTTGCAATCGGAGTTGGACCGAGGGGAAGGAGTTGGGAAAACAGCTGGCTTTCAGACTCTCGAATTGATTGTGGTCAGCTCGAGCTTTGAGCCGTTGTAAACCCAAGGTGTCCAAGATAAAATCTTGCAGCGACGCTATATTATAATCTATCCATTGTTATATCGAATATGTTATATATATATATGTCGTGTTTCTATTTCAGTCAAGCTTGCAACTGGCATGCAGTCCCAGAACACAGCTTTCAGAACTTATGAATTACAAGGCGATACATGCGTTACACATCCGTGCAATTGATACCACGCAGCTAGTAGTATCTTCCCCGACAAACCATGTAATGTATGGAATATTTGCCTAAATTGACACTTAAAACATCTTAGAACCACCCCAAATGTAGGCAAATACTACATACATGGATTGTCTTGGGATTGGAGTGCGCCAGCTCTACAAATCTACGCTCTCTACAATGGGTTGCTTCGATATTTGATCGACGGTCGTCGGATGTTTTTTCAGTCGACCACACTCACCCTGCTTGACCATGTGTATCCATGTGTTGTTCATGTGTTTTTCTCATCCAAAAGCATGGGTGGTGCTGGTAGGCCAGATCTATGATATTTTAAATACTGCTTGGACCTTTTCTGCGGAAAAGGTCCACCACAGACACGATGTCCTCGCTCTCGCCAGGGGCCGTTGCCCACCGAGTCCTCACAGATGGGTGGGGAACTCGCGAAAAGAGATGAGGAAGAGGAGAAGATATAAAAAAGGCCAAAATGATTCCATGAATAGGAGTTTTCATGTTTTATGCCATATCGTGCCTAAAGTGGTGCCAATGTTCTTGCCTTTCAGAATTTTCCTGAGTATGTTGAGATAGGGGGAGTCTATGGCACGGACCATTCTTTCCCATGTGCAATCTTCCATGTGGATGACAAGATCCAGATCCAGAGTTCAGAGAAACAGAACGAACTGATTCCATGACGTTGAGATTGTAAGAACATGTTCGGCTTTCACTCCCGTCAGACCGTTGACGTCAGGCCGTGGTTCTTTGGGTTTGGCTTTTCCTATGGGTGAATAATACCCTTCTGGAAGTCTTGGGAAAGCTTGGATCTTTTCATGTGAAAGTCTGGCGCCATGGATGTGTTCTCCATGGGTCGCTTGAGTGTTGGGGATGGAACAGCAAATCCTTTGCACAGTGTTGGGCCTGTTGGGCCCCAACGGTGAAAAGCTCAGTTCTCCCAGTGACACACCGGAGTCGCCGGTCACTGGAGAGCTGGCCGGGCGCCGAGGTGATGAGTCGCCCAGCAGAGGCCGTTCAAGAGCGGGTCATAAGCAGAGAGACATCAAGAGGACCCAGAGCTCGTCCTGGTTTTGGTCACGGAAATGTATGACAGGAGCACACCATGGGACCATGCTCATCCATGCTCCGCGTTCCCGTTTGGAGTAGGTGAGTACAGAGCATTGTTCGACGATGTCGACTTCCAGGGCTTCCAATTTCTGAAGAAGTTCTGGATTTAGCTGTTAGGCTCTTAGATCAAGAAAGCAAGCAGCAGAGCAGATTCTCGCATGTCAGAGAACACCTGCACTCACCTGCAGCCTGCAGCTGAAGACCTGGATTTCCAGACGATGGAAGTGCAGTACATCAAGCCAGCCAGCTACATTAATGCGACCAGTCGCTACGTCACGGCATCTCTGCCACCAGACACCGGGGCGCCGCCGGCGCGTCTGCGGGTCATCGCGGCGCCATGCGGAGCCATCCAGCCTTACGGCAGCGAGCGGCGAGGACCCACATGCCCGATCGCCTTGGGAAGCAGGCAGGCGCCAAGGGGTGTCGAAGTGGTTTTTCGGTCGTGGCTGGGTAGACGGTGGTCGTTGGGGATTCTCCCTATTGTTACAACCGTGATAAAAAGGCCTAAGGCCAGAAATGATGCGTTACACTGCCGTCGATTTGTTCATGTATTTGTCTTCTACGTTTTTTTTTCTATTGATATGTAGTATATATATAATTATGTCATATTATGTAATGTTTCTGTTTACTAGGGGGTGGCGCCCAACCCCAAAGATCCTTTCGAGGGGTCACCTGAGTAGGGGGATCACCTGCAGCTCCATGGGATCCACAGTCCGTGTGGAAACAGTGCCCTTTGTGTGGACCAACATTTGATGGTGCCCACAAAACTGAAGATGCACGATCCTAACCACAATTCGATCCAACCATTTGTGACCTGCCACAAGCATGAGTGCGTGATTTGGGACTACCAAGTGGCGGTTTTCTGTCTGACGGGGGGACATCACAAGACAGATGTGATCAAAGGTTCATTGGTTAAATGGAAGGAAAACCCGTTTCTCAGGTTTTTTGCCATGCCATGCCACTTTCTTGGGTGGATCCTGCGTGCTGTTGCGCAGGTGCCGTTCAATAAGATGGAGATCGTGGCCGGGGTCCCAGCGGCTTCAGAGTAGATGGCAAAGTTGCACCCTTAGATGGCGGCTTTTGAATTTACACGTTGGCTCCCCAGGACTTGCGCCATGGGCAATCTAGACTTACGCCATGTGTGTGTGTGTGTGACATCTCAAGATCTAGGCCCACAGTCTTGGTGGCTAGGCTAGACAACCCTTGTGCAACTGTGCAACTGGGTCATATTATATCATATTATACATATGCAGAGATGTAATACATTACTAAATTTGGATATGATATGGGGCGATGGGCGACGGGGATGTTGCGTGGCGAGAGGCCTGGTTGTGCCAAGCTGTACAGGGCTCCCAACCAGGGAGGGTGGTGTTCCACATCCCAGCCGTCACGGACTCCTGCTCCAACTCCATCCTCAGCTGGGTACAGTAGGAACTACACAGGGTGACTTCACCCTACCCAAGATTGCCCAAGTACCTTCAGCATGGAGCAAGTTGGAACCCTGCTGAGGACACGTCCACCACTGTTCGGACCCCTCATCCCAGCCGTTTTTCGGTCCACCGCGGGGTCCCCGGTCCTCGGGGTTCGAAGGTCACCTTAACGGTCCTCATGGTCTTGGCCCTCTTTGCCATCGTCGTCAGCACCATCTTCGCCCGTGGCTCCGTGGCTGGGCGTTCAAACGGGCGAGTCTTCGAACGGTTTGGGGCGTAGGGGGTGGGTGGGGTCATATGGGGTGGTGTATGATTGTGTATGTAATGTTGCGTAATGCTGTGTATATACTTTCTTTGGGGGGGATGGGGATGGGTCATGAGGTTTAGCCCACAAATTGAGGGCGTTAGTCGCGGGATCTTGGAGGCAATGTTGCAGTAGCCTGTCTAATTCTTGCAAAACAGGTACCACTACATACAAATAGGAACCATGGGTAAACCCAGCAACTGCTAGACGTTTTGAAGATGATTTTCCTCTACTCATGCGGTTTGTTTGTTCTGTTGGGGGACTACAACTTCTTTTGGAGAACTAGTGAGTGGCTACACGATGATATTCCATCCTTTTGGGAAGGCTGATAACTTCTTTGGGACTCAACCACCACCTGCAGATGGCGATCACTGCCGCTCAGGGGCTGAGTCGCGCGCAGAAGCTCTTCTATGGTCACAAGCTTGAGGATGACAGGCCAGTCCACAGGTGATTGTTCAATCGTTGGGCATTCGGTAGCAGAAGGGGAACTGACCCTTTGTGCACCTCCCATTGGCTTTAAAGTGGTGTTGGAAGAGGACTCCCGGCCTGATCGGTCCGAATGTCCTCCCAATCACTCCTGTCGGTGGTGGCATTGCAATACTATACCAGGACCCTCAAGGGGTGGTTAATGGACACCCCAAATCACAGCTAAGGGGCTATAAATAGACACCCCTTGGAGGGTCCTGATACTTGGCTTCTTAATCATGATTAATTCAATTTAGAGCTCGGGCAAGCAGCAACACCTGTCGACACCCCGCTCGTCGAGAGGGTCTCCAGTTTTCCAGCGGCCTGAGTGATATACACTGAGAACCAGAAAAGCGAATGGTGAGCGGAAAAAGACTTGTAGGTCCATTTCTGAAGTGGAAACCCAAACCCGGAGTCCAATCGCCCATCGTCGCACGACTGATCACCTATATCATTTGAGTCTGATTCTCCAAAAAGAAGACCGATGTGATGCAGATATACAGGTGATCAGAGAAACCAATGATGATCATCGTCTATAGAAAAAAAGAAAGAAGAGTCCCAAGCACGGAGGCCGCTGGATCTGGACTCCACCCCCCCTGACTTCAAGAGTCGCCGCTGGATCGCTGGATGGTGGTGACCGATCTCGGTCCACTTCAGGCCGTTGCCGTTCCTTGATGCGTTACAGGTGACTTGGCCGTTTCCGGGAGGGTGGTGGGAAGAGGCGGGCGAGACATGACGAGACCGAGCGCGTGGCTTCACCGTACAAGTCTATCAAGTGGATTCAAGTGGTGTAGTGTAGACTCTTGATTAATTACCCCCCCCAGTTGAATTGGAAGCGTCAAGTGGTGTAGTGTAGGGTTGTCGATTGGTGACCCTAATTTCGGGCGACCCCCCCCTTCAGTCAGAGACTCCAGCGACGAGTCCGGGGACGTTGCATATCCAACATCAAACAGCCGTACGCCCCGGTGAATCCGAGGGACCCATCAGGCACCACGGGCCGATCCAAAACCCAAACGGGTCGACCTGAAAGGGCTCGTAGGATCCGGATCGGGGGCTGTGATGTCATGTGGGGTGGAAGAGACGACCGAACATGCGCTGACCGGTCAGTTTCACAGTGGGTGAAGCACTGAGCATGGACGAAGGAGGTGAGAAACACGAGGACTTGTCACTTGAGGACTTGAAATACTTCGACGATCTTCAGCCTCTTTCAAACCCTATGCCTGTGGATGTGGGTGTGTGTGTGTGTGTGCGTGTGGGCGGTGTGCATGTGTGTGTGTGCCCGTGCGATCAGTATCCCAGTTGCTGCCAGTTGCTCAGGTTCCTCCAACCTCCAACTCTTCTTTGTGAGATGTGGCAGTGCGACCACAGAGATGGTATGCCGAAGAGCTGAAAACAGCGGAGTGATATGGTTGTGTACACTGTTCTTTCTTGAAGAGATTTGATCTCCTTTGGTTGAACAGCCATCGTTCCATCAATATGTTGTTGTTCTGGGCCAAGTGAAGAAGCATTCGTGGCTGACGAAAGGATGTCAAAGCTTGCGTTTCTGTGCCGGTTGGCACTTGGATCACAGCGCTTTGCCGGCTCAAAGAGGCCTGCATCGTACACGGCTGGACGTGTCGGATGAGTTTGAATCGAAACAAGCAGACACGGGGCCCTGTTCCTTTTTCCACTTCCATGGCTTTTGGGCTCCAGATATCACCCACCTCATGCAGACCAGCCAATGATTGGCACTGAGCCTCCCCAACGCAAGACGCGCAGATGCGGGAGCAGACTGAGGGCGCTTGGCCAGCGGCCAAAAAGAAACACGAGTCACGAATCGATGGGTTTCCAGCATGAATTACAGTATTCGACTTTGGAATTGCGACAGTTTGGTCTCCTTTGGGACAAAAGTATATTTTTTGATTTTGGAAGCACACTGTGAAATCGTCGTTTCCAACGCTTTTTTCGCACGCAAAGTTGTCAAGATCTGGACCCCCTGACAATGTTTGATGTCGAATCCACTGGGCTTATAGACCGTCCATCGGTTTTTGCGATGACAGAGAGACTTGAATTCGAGTACACACCGAAGCCGCGGTGTTTCCACACCAGGCCAGGTCGTGTGGCAGTTTCTTGGTCCCAGTCCATTCACTTCGGTCTCAGACTTTATCAGAGTTCTACCTTCGGATGACATGGGATTTAGAAAACATACATGAGAACTCACACATTCCCAAGTCATTCAACTGAGTCGAATCCATTCGGATCCACTGGTTTTAGGTTTTATGGATTGTGAGCACCTTGTAGCCCAAAGGCTCAGTCCTGCCGGGGAGCCGCTCGAGAGCGGAACGTCAGCTCTGGTGCCAGGTAGCCAGATGTTGAACTCGACCAGTCGGCAGGCGTGGAGAGGTGGAGGGAGGTTTCTTTTGTTTTTTTCTTCTGATTTTGGGTTGGTTGATGAAGACCAAGACCTCTACATGGATTATGGTAGAGGTCTTGGTTACCATGGAGCATTTGATCTATATAGATATTCAGTCTTCCAGAATCGAAGCCACAGCTCACACTGCTTTGACTGTGCTTGTTGGGGTTGGCATGATTGACAGTGCTTGCTCGCTGGTTTTTCAAGGGTACATGGCATACATAGTGGATCATAGTGGCATGCATGTATAGCATCCGTGTTTTCACAGAGGGGCGAATCCAGAGTCCCCGACTCCGCTGCAGAGTCCCCAGAGCTCCAGAAGACAGAGACCCCAGCCCACTGCTTCAAGGAACGACATGAAGAATGAAAAGCTGCCAGCAGATCTTCAATTGACTCACTCACTCTCACTCACACTCGCACTCTCCCACACTCACTCTCACTTTCCACCGGGAGCCTCGAGCAGTCTACCACAGAATGCCTCCAGATGCCTGGTACCTGCCTCCCAAGTCCACGCACCGTCCGCCGCACGGAGCGCCTCCGTGCGCCTCGGGGTCTGCCGAAACGTGCGCCAGAGCATCTCCGCCTCCGCCTCTGCGCCCATGCCTGCGAACTACGCTGGGGGGCTGAAGGAGTGGAGGGAAGAACTGGTTCATGTTTGGATGGAGTGGAAGGGAGATGAAGGGATGGGATTTGCTGGGTGGATTTGCAAACATGGGGAGCGAAGATACGCATAAGTTGTGCTGAATTGGATTAATGGACGACCAAGAAATCGAAGCAGAGTAATGCTGCAACTGCTCATAATGGTGAAACCATGCAACGGCCTGTCTCCAACGAGGTTGGGGATCCACAAGGTTGTGTGGCGCCTCTTTGTGCTTGAACCTGTGAAGGCTTGGACACCGAAGTTCCGTTCAGAACTCCTTTGGACCAAGGGAAGAGCAGATTCAGATTGAGCGAAGAGCGGCAGCTCAAGATGATGTCCAGTCGGCCGCCGAAGAATGAGGACGGCAAGAAGCTCTAGACTTTCTACCGCACAAGACGATAAGTTGGGTGTGTATTACCTGTAAGAGTCAGTCAACCAGCTAAATCACTACTTTTGAATCAGGCCTTGGACGTTAACTCCATCATCCACTACTAAACAGGTCGACTCGGAGAGACCCTATCGACTCTCGACTCTCGACATGGTCCAGCGGCCCCATGGGTCCGGTCCCATGTTTTTTTGGGAAAGGGGGGATGTCATGTTCGACTGTTCACTTAAACAGGCAATTCCATTCGTTCATGGTATTTTTTATGACATTAAAACAATACTACAAAATAATCACCCGTATACACAAGCTTGTATACACCATTGTTGGATCAACCCAAAAGGACTAGTGGCTCACCTGTGCGACAAAATGCCCGGGTACTCGCTCGGGTACTCGTGCGACTTGTGATGACCCTGTGAAAGGAAAGGGTTTGTTGGAAAGGGGCAGCCAGCATCCTTGCGGACGGTCTGGCAGATTTTAATATGATGCGTAAAATTGCGTAAATATGATGTAGTTAATAGATCACCTTCTAGAATGAAGATATCATAGAACATCATGGATGCTTATTGATCAGATGATGATTAATGATCAGAAATGATCTATAGCACAGAAATCCATTTTGTTTATTCAATTAAAATTCAATTAAAGATCAAATCATTTCAAAGATAGACCTGGAAGGCCCGAGGTCCGTTCCTGCGCATCATCTGAGGTCCGGCGGATCCGACGCAAGGCACAGCTCTCCAGGAATGCGCACGACTACAGGTGGGGTTGGGGGTGTGGCATCAAGGGACTGGAAAAGGGAAGGAACGCCCGTGTTGTCGGTGGAATTGAATGATGGATCATGATGGATCATTGGATCATAATAGATTGATCCACCTTTTGCGGGTCCCAAGCAAGGAGTGTGTTAGTGAGAGCGAGTGTGAGAGATTTTGAGACTGCACGAACTTGCTGCTTTTTGGTGCTTTCTCATGTTTTCTCGCTTTTTTGGGGGCTTCCAACGGAGCACAGGCAGCAGATCGCGGATCTCAAGATGCTCGCGGACTCTGCACCTTGGCGGCCAATGCGGCATGGCTCGATGGGATCTGGCGACCAAGCCTGGAAAGTAATTCATTACTAGTAGCTTCTTGTTACTAGTAGCGATGGCCTCCAACCTAATAGTGATGGCCTCCAACCTAATAGCCATGGCCTCCAACCTAATAGCGATGGCCTCCACCTAGTAACAAAAAGAACACAACTGTTCAAAGACCTGGCAGCCTTCCGTTCAACCAACATAAGCTGGTTGACCTCGTTTTTTGTCGTGTAAATTCCTTAGTCATGTGGTTGTCGGCACAGCAAAATATATCGCGATACCCTTATGGTAGTCCTTATGGTTTGCGTGTTTAAGGCCGCGTCGATGGAAATGTCTATACTTTCACTGCAGCCATACGCTAACGCCTAGATTTTCTATTCTAACTTCTGGTGGTTCGAGCGATCAGATGTAATCAGCTTTGACATATCAGAACGGTGGGAACATCAAAACATAGTTTCCCATACCCCGCCCCACCTATATGAGCAACTGCCAAAACCTCCGATGAAGGCAGCATCACTACAGTGAAGACTAAGTAAGTAAAGTGAAGGAAACCTTCAGGAACGATAAGGTTCACAGAAAAAGAAAAAACACGATACTGTAAGGTTTTAGTACATGTTGTTAGGTGTGTTCAAACCCTCAGGAACGATCAGGTTCACATAAAAAACGATAACGTTGGGTCCTCGTGCGCACTACAACACATTTGAGGTTTTGCACGTCGCTCATATAGCCAGGGTCATACATGATCTACTTCGGTGAAATTTGGATTTTGACAGAACCTAAAACCCGCATGACACATATATAGAACATGTTATTGTGATTATTGTATAATAATATAAAGCAAAAATGCAAACGCTAACTTAACAGCAATAAGTGGAATTCAATTTGGCCCCGTTCTTTGTTTCTCGCCCAACCATATCTCGTGTCTTCCACGGTCGCTGTCCCTCGCTGAGGCCAGTCGTTCAGGCAACGTCTATCAGGCTTTGCAGGCGTTGGGCGTTCTTTTTTTATCGGCGCTGGTGCTGGTTCGCTTCACTTTCAGCAGGTGGGTGTGTCGCTGGCATTTTTTTCGGGTTTTGCTCGTGTGTCCTTCGTCGAGGTCGGAGAACGGGGAGATGAGAGAGGACGGATCTTTTCACCCGAAGACTCAGCAAATGCACGGAAGCTGAAGGGCATCAACATCAATTTGAAAGGATGCTTGATGTTTCTGACTAGAGAGTATCTATACTATAGAGATTTGTTGTTTTTACATGACCAGCACATCCCAGCACTGCCATGGTGTCAACATCCCTGAGTTCCGAGACGACAAACACTGGAGGCGCCTTCTGGGTTTAGTGGTCAGTGGTTCGCAGTAGTCGTGGCTTTTTCGTCTCGGCTTCGACAGGACATGAAACCATGTAACATGTAACTATATCAAAAGGCATCAGACGCGTAGTGGCGTAGTGATCAGGATTTGATAGGTTTGATATGATGTATCCGACCCTCCCATTCGTACGGTACAGATTGTCCAAGGCTTATAATAATAGGTTTAGTACGTTTGGTGGGTTACCGCAGTACCGTCACCCCGATAAGGATATCATTGGACCCTGTCGTCGACCTACGGGCCAAGCTGATCACGAAAGGTAGCTTGAGCTACCTGAGTTCTCCTTGCTTCTTGCAAAAATGTATTACAATCAGGAGTTGGGATTGTGCATTGAGTTTGGTCCTGTAAGAGTTGATTCTGTTCGTCGGGGGGGGGGGGCCCCCCCCCTGGATCAAATCCCCCCTGCGCCGGTTCACGGCGTCATGGACTTCTACCAGGGTTACTTGTGATTGCCTGCTACCTTTCGTTCACCCCCTCCTCTCTCAAGTTCAACCAGACACGCTTTTGGAGGCCTACCACAAGATGGGTGTGGTCTTTGACAACCAGGGCATGTATGATGAGGCCTAGAACATTGCATGTTTTCACAGGCTTACGCGTGGCGGTTTTTCGTCAGCAAAGAAAATTGCATGTTTCTTTGATACCATTCTAATATCTCATTGAGACACATTGAATTTTCAACACATCCAAACCCTCAGTTTTGTGTTTTGTGCCATGGCAATCTCGCATTTGTGGAGCTTTTTTCTGTGACTTGCAGTAGTTTGCAGGTCAGTCCTAGACTATGTTTAGACACTTGAAGGTCAAAAGGTCCCCACTCAATCTTGGAATACGACTGTTGAGTTCTGCCAACAAATCCCGTCAAAACCATCCCTAGAAGATCCTAGAAGCATCTCCGTCACCTGCTCCAATGCTTTTTTGGTTTTGGCAAGCAAGTAGCGTCCCTTGCAACTTGGAGCCAATACATGTTTTGTCCACCCACAAGTCAGCGCAATGGCCGGTTTCAAAGGGAGTGTCGAGAAAGAACGGGCAAATGATGATATTTTGCAGGCTGTTGAGTCGAAAATATCTTTCAAGGTAACCCGGTTGGTATTGTCATGTATTGTCACTGTCTTGTCCCAAAATAGATGCCGGGCCTCATTCCCAGGCATCCTAGCGTCATAAGTCATAGACAACATTACATGTCAGTTTTGTTAGAGATGATTGGAGCCGGATGACTAGAGCAGTGGTCACATCCTACAGTCCTACAGGCTCCCTGTGGACGATAAGAACGTGCAGCAATTGGTTTACTGTAATTTGAGGCAAGCGATACAAAGGTTTTGGCACAGTCCTTGCTCATCTTAAGACACAACATCATCATAGAAATTCTGAATTGGTCTTCAGCAGTCCATTTGTTCAGGCCATGGCGAACCAACGAACAAGTAAAAGCCGGTTTGCTTGGTTTGCTCTTGATGGGTGCACTTCGTTCTCACCACTGCACCGAACATGATCCTCCGGATCGAAGAAAGGACACCCGAGAATCACAGGTCGACGGTCGACCTGATCGCAAAACGAACGACGCTGTTCGCGAAGCTAGCGGTTAGCGGCCAGCTTGGAAGAGAAGCGCTGCCACAGGCCATTATGAAGTACAAACAGTTCTTGGCGCTGTGCATTACCTCCAAGAACACTCAGGGCGAGGCCGAAGCCTTCCGCCGGTCCGTGCCTACAAACCACTGGGTCCCGGGGGGCCGCTTTAGGAAGCCGCAGAGGTTTACTGTACTCAGTACTATGTTATACTCTGTTACTCTGTTAGGCAAGATGTTTGAGGAAGTTACTTTGTTTAGCTTGTTTGTGTCTCATTCTAAGAGATCTATAAGATGGTTTAATCGATTTATGAGACGATTTTCTAAAACGTGTTTTGCTACATGTTCCGATCCACCGAAAAAAGGCCAATCAAAGCCTCGGCCTCGTTCGCCAAAAGGCCGGCCCATCCGGTGAGGTCCTTGAGGTCGGACCCATCCGGTGAGGGAGTGAGTGATTCGTTTCCGCTAGGCATTAGCGTACAACTGCCTGGGCATTGACTGCTTCAAGATGGGCTGGAACGCCCAGAGGGCCGCTGTTTCTTGTTTGTTTGGGAGGGGGTTGCCCTCTAAGTACGGGGGAGCGGAAGTTACGAGTTTCCGCTGGGTGCATGTCAGCTACTTTGCCGTGCTTGGGATGGGTCGTTGGGTCGTTCAAATCTTTAGAGCAGCATGAAGTGTCCCCACTAATGGGTCGCTAACTTGCTACTAGTAAGAAGAAGCGACTAGTAGCCCCTGGCATTTACATGCATTTACTATTATAAGAACAAGAAGCAAACGTAGAGGCCATTGTGTGAGCGTCTTCTCCAATCCGGGAGCCTTGGGAGCCTTGGGAGCGTCGATCCGATGGCCATTTGGCTCCCAAAAGGCGGTCTGAGTCGCAGTCGCAGGACGGTGCAGCACCAAACTTTAATGAGTCATTTGGTTGCGAAAGATGAAGAAAACAAGCACCAAACTTACAGGACAGGGGTTTTCAAGAGCCAGACCTGCAATTGGCACTTTTCGACGTTTCGCGAGCAACTGAAGCAGAGTGAAGCCAGGCACAGATAGCACAGCCTCTTTGGAAGGGCTTGGAGACGACCCGCCGAGTATTTTTGTTTCTTTGCGCAGCATGGCCTACCGCGTGAATGGCCTTCCGCCCTTCCAGGTTTCTTTCAGTATCACCTTCCCGGAAGGCTATGTGGGGAAGGACAAGTTGGACACAAAGTTCCAAGTTGAGGCAGAAGACTCTCAAGTGCAGGCTCGGTGCAAGCCATAGCTGTGACAGTGGGCTCTTATTAAGTGTCACATGGAAAGAGACAGAGAGAGAGAGAGAGGGAGGGAGAAAGATGTTTAGAAGAAACATAGAAGCTCACATGGTTTCATGATGTTTCATGATGTATATGTGCAGGCCGGAGTCAGTTCACCAGGTTTTCAGTGTTCTGCGTTCTGCCCATGTTTTTGCAGGTCGGTGTGCTGAATCAATTGGCTAAGACGGCCAAGTTCGAGACGAACAAGAGCTACTTTGTCAAAAGTTTTTCTGTCGGCAAGTCGTTTTGGACATGTATGTTTATTTCTTTTGTGTGTGTGTGTGTTGTCTGTACAATTTTGTACATATTGACATATTGGAATGTGTGCAAGGATGTGTGTCCTTGTCGAGTTGCGTGTGTTGGTCTCACTTTTCTCGGCAATTGCAGGCTGTTCCATCGCCAAGAATTTATATGGTTTTTAGTAAAGCTAGTTTCGTACCGAAAAGGTCTTACAACCTGCTTCCGTCTTCATAAATGGGCTTTCCCTCATGAAGGGACCCAGGGCGGCCATGACCCTCCCAGGAGATACGACCCTCAGCATTTCTCAGTCGTCGAAAACAACACGACACAGCGGCCCAAACGATCAGCGGGGCGGACAAGTCCCGGGGGTTGACAAGCCCGCGACAAGCTGTGTTGTGACTGGCAGTTGGGACTGTGAAGCTCGAAGCTAACACTCACAAGAGAAGGGGGTTGTGACTGTGTAAGTCACTTGCTTGCAGCTGTCAGTGTCTTAATTCACAGCACTTGGATCATTACACCATCACGACTAGAATTTCAGTGCTCCAGCCGAGTGGTGAAATCATTGTTCAGGAAGCGACCCTACAGAAAAATCAGAAAAAATTGCTGGAAGTTGAAGCAGCTATATACATGTTTGGCGACAATCATTGAAGACTCCAAGCTTCTGGTCAAAGATGAGTTAGTCAGGTAGTATTGGACAATACTTATTGCATGCAAGGAATTGGGGCATCTCCAACGTCGTGATGTGCTCGAGTCAAAAGATGAACAGGTAACCACAGCCTTGGCGCTGTGATTGGAACTGCGACTCAAGTGATAGACACTCAAATGCTTGACAGGGTCTTTCCAGACCCACATCCAGGAGAGGGTCTTTGAACATCAAAATATAGAATATAAGCTCTTGGGTCTTTGCTTGAGCCTGGAAACACTCAATGACTCGCGTTGGGACGTCACGTGCCTTTCTTCTTCAGCCGGACGCAGAATTCTGGAGCGATCTGGACCGGACGCAGCTCTCAGCCTCTTCGGGGCCATTGGGATTCGTTGCACTGCGATGCACCGGAAGCGAAGCGGAGCGGTCAGTGCCTCTCTAGTGCACTAGAGACCGGTGGTTCTTCGGCCAACTGGACCATGGTGGGTCAGTGCCTGAAATGGGGGATGCAGTTCTTGACAACTTACCCACCACAGCCACCCTACGTGAACATCAACCAACGCAGCACAGCTGGCCCAACCATTGGACCATTTGGGACCCTCCAAACCCACCCCAAACATCCCCAAACATCTTAGAAGGTACTTGGAACATCTTGGAACTGGGCTTTGCCGTGTGGAGCCTTGGACAGCGCCGATCGGTTTCGCTCCAGGCACCACCTTGGACGAAGATTCCTTGGAGCTGCATACGTCGCTGGGCCGCTTTGGAGGTGCTGCGCCACCTCAGCTGTAGAGAAAGAACATGACACTTACAAACAAAGATATATAAAAATATATATTTAGATATATATTAGACGTTTAGAACATTTTAGAATTTTAGAACCATCGAAAACACAAGAAGAACGATGTAGCATTCATGTGGCCTTCCATCCCAGACCTTTCCCAGGATCAGGTGGCCCCGAAGGGACTCATGGTAAATCAACAAACCCAGATTCCCCCCCTTTGGATTGTGAAACCATCTAAACCTCTTCTATGTAGTGGGGGTGAAATATGTTGAATATTGTTGAACGCCTATATACTATATATACATAAATTTGATCATGTCTCTTGGGGTATCACGTGCTCGGGCAAGCCCGCATCTTAAAGGTTTGGGGTCCAATGAGGCCATCTCTATCCCTTTCTCGATTTGGAGACCAGGGCCATGGTCGAAAAATACTAATAACATGAATTCAGGGCTACCCCCCATGAGTCAAACATGAGACTTGCAGGCCTGTATACAGGTAAGAACCTTTCATGACAGGTAGGAGGACAGCCAACGGGTCGTTCAACCTCAGGATTTCCCCGGTTCCTCGTGCGTCGCTCGCCGTGGAAGCTCAGGAAGCTGGAAGCTTTGCGCGTCATTGCCCAGACGGGCCAATCAGCCAAGGCTTCCGTTCGATCCCTTGAATCCTGGCGCAAGATGGCACAAGAAGAGTCAGGGAATTGACACACCCCGGACGGCCCGGACTGTGGAACCCTCAAGGAAGCATTTGGAGGTGGTCTTGTAGGAAAGCAAACAAGACAGGGAGGTTTCCCAAGCTAGAATAGGGGTGGGACTCCCTCCTTTTCCCATTAAAGTTCAAACGTTGTTTTCCACGTGGTCCTTATGCCCAAACGGCCACACTGACTCGTGGAGCCCCGATTCGGCAGCCCGATTCCGAGGAGGACGACGAGACCACGGAGGGCTCCGACGCCGGGGATTTGGTCACCGCCACATCCTCGATGAAGACCTTGTCCAGTGAATGTCAGGAGCGAGTGGACGCTCCACGGACTCCAACCCTTTGGACATTGCCAGACAGAAACGGGTCACTGACCTCATTTGACGGAATCATGTCGAAAAACCCTGAAACAACCTGATTCATTGAACCCCACCGGGACACCTTGGACGCCTTCCACCGGACTCTGTGAATGGAGCTGAAGTAGACGCCCCAGAACGTCCGTTTTTGGAAGGTCGCCACCTGTTCGGAGAGGTTCAAACGACTCCTTTTCCTGAACTTTTAGGGATCGAAGTACTACGTACACACTGTCCCTGGAATCATCATGCAAAACATGGAGTTCACCATTGTTGTAGAAGAAACATGTTGTCATTCATTATTTAACTATTCTAGGGGTCCTGTGAGTTCATGGAATAATTGGTTCAGAATACTTTTATGGAATAATAAACTTAGGCAGGGGTAGGTCAAGGGACCCTTGGAACAATGTTCAACAAAACCTATATTTATAGGATACTAGGTTGGAGGCCATCGCTAATAGGTTGGAGGCCATCGCTAGTAATCTACAATCCACTATATAAATGCTCTTTAAATAAGCTAATACGCATGCGCAGGCAGTCCTGGTTTCCAGGATCACTAAGGAACACTAAGGATTTTACGCGAAAGCAGTATAACTAGTTTGTCGAATAGGCAGTGTCCCGAACAGGGACCTTTTTTTCCTCAATTGCTCTTTGCAACAGTCTGGGGGCCTCAGTGAGTGGCGGCTGTGGACAGGATCTCACTACTACTACTACCACCACGACTACTACTACTACTACTACTACTACTACTACTACTACTACTACTACTACTACTACTACTACCATCCACCCAACCAATTATCCACCCTTCCAACCATCCACCCTTCCAACCATCCAACCAACCAACCATTCAACCACCCAACCATCCAACCACCGTCCAACCATCCAACCATCCAGACCCCTGGCAGAACTGAACCCCCTCTCTGGAATAACTTACCTGTTGCTGAGGAGATGGCGGGTGGTAGGGCAAGTAGTGGTAAGGGTTCTGGTGATGCCTGGTTGCTTTGCCACACCTTTTCTGCCTTGCATCCAGGGGCTGGTAGGAAAGGATATACTATTCCACACCCAAGGCAGAAACTGAACTCCCCCTGGAATAATTTCTTTTTGTTGGGGAGATAGGATACAGCAGGACAAATACTAGTAAGGCTTCTGGTCTAGGGTTGGAAAGCTTGCTAAGGTTTAAGGCTATTGGGTTGGTTTCTATGCTCTTTGCCTGGTTGCTGTGCAAAACCCTTCCTTAGCTTGTATCTTTCGGTTAGTTCTAGGGGCAGACAGGGGAGATGATATTATTCCAAGCCCCTGGCAGAACTGAACCCCCCTGGAATAATTTACCTTTTGCTGAGGAGATGGAGGGCAGTAGGGCAAGTAGTGGAAGGGGTTCTGGTGATGCCTGGTTGCTTTGCCACACCTTTTCTGCCTTGGCTGGTAGGAACGGATATATTATATTGTTCCATACCCAAGGCAGAACTGAACCCTGCCTGGAATAATTTCATCTTGTTGGGGAGATAGGATACAG